TTTCCAATTGACCGTTACAAAAATGAGTCGATACGGAGGTTGACTGAAAGTCACTTGAGAGGCTACATAAACATAAACCAAAATTTCTGAGGAAGAAAGAACAGAGAGTTCTTTCATTAGGTGACGAATTTTGTAATAGGTCTTTGTGATTAGTTTTTAGTCTCCTGGAGAGATCCATAGAGTACAGGCGTTTTTCTTCCTCGTGCCATTTAAAGAATAAAAGAATTTAAGTTTAATCCACGGCATTAAATAATTATTTATGTCTCCCATTTCCATTATTCATAAATAGATTTTACGGATTTCGTAGCTCTCATGCTTTTCTATCTTGAAATTCTAGAAATGGACTCCCTATAGAAACTTTTATCCCGATATTGTCATTATTACTCTTTGATAAATTCTAAATATTTTGTATTAATTTTCAAAACCTATTGAATAAACATCAAATTGACTGATGAATCATATCATTCTGATGATTTTTCATTAAGGGCCATCTGTCGAACGCAATCTTTTTTTATTTAAATTCTTGTTAACCTACGATATATGAAAATTGAGAATCAAATTTTTGTGTTCTAATTGGCGATATTAATTAAAACGGATCTATCAAATTTTAGAGAAAAATAATAAAAAATATGCAGTTCACCATTGCTCTCCACTGGATTGAGTGACAGCTAAACTCAATGGTAAGCTGCGTATTTTTATTAATTTTTTTGTAGACTTGGTGAATCCTTTGAAATCAATATCGCGATTTAGCGCCCTTCAATAATTTTTCTTCTTTTTTTATATTATCTTTTTATAGCCATTCAAGTTGTGCCTGCAACAGCAATTTAATCTTCAATTTCAATTTATTTTAGGCTAACCAGATAGAATTGGTACAAGAGATAACGTTCGATTAATAGTCCATGCGGCTTTTAAATTATTACAATTTTAGGCGGGAATTTTATTCTCATGTTTTACTGGAGAATTCCACTTAGGCTGGATTTTTCTGTCTTTTTAATTGAAATAAAAGAAAAACGATATAATATTTTGGAGCAGACCATTGGTTTTTAAATGATCATGTGCTGGATATGATTCAATTGAATTTTCATGAAATTATTGAACATTGTTTTCCTTCTGAATGTAACGTCGCCCTCTGAAGTTCGGACCTTTCATCGATTATGGGACTTTTTGGAGTTGACTAGTGTCGCTTTATCATACACAATTTTCAAGATCTCGTTCTTGAACGAAAGATCTTCATCATTTTCCCCATTCTATTTCCTTAATGAATAGGTATGTATTATTATGTGTCGAATTTCGCAAGTCACAAATTATAAATTTACCATTTTTTCAATTTTTGTCCTGATTTACAGTTCTCTGACTCAATTACTAGCTGAAATATCATATCAAGTGTGAAGGTCATTGGAAGACCTTTAAATCGAAAGGTGACTCGTTGAATTCGAACCACAAAGTTATGACGGTTTTTCAGGAGAAATTCATTTTTTCATGTTTATTCAAAAAATAAACTTTGGATTTTTCCATTCTTTCGAGTCAAATAGAAAAAATCGATATATCGTTTTCAGGTGGATCGTTCGTTGTTTAATTGTGAATTGTGATGTGTTGGATATGATTCGGTTGAATTTTCATGAAATTATTAAGCATTTTCCTTCTGAGCGTAAAGTTACTCCTAAAAATTTGGAATTTTAACCCTTTTAACCCTTTTAACCTTAGAGTTTCAATTTTGACACCAATCATTTAAACCGAATGTTCACATTACTATTAATTTTTTTTTTATAGGTTGGCTCTACGTATTTTACTGTTGTATAATATTCTTTCCAAGGAGATTAAAAAAAAATCAAATGTCATTATTGTTTTATTTTGTCTATGACATTACAATATTAAAAATAAATCACTTTCGTGAATCAGGTTACTAAGGGTTAATCGACTAATGTGACTTTATTATCCACCATTTTGAAGATGTCACCGAGATCCTCGAAATGGTGCTTCATTTTTCTCATTCTATTCACTTGGTGAAGTACAAAAATGTTTATACTAAAAATTTGTTCTTGCAATTCGTGCAATTCATTCCTTCGAGATATTGACCGAAAACTGGCCTCGAAAGAAAATGAACTTATCCCAGTTTACCACTTCGATTATTAAATGAATTAATTTTCATTCTGGACCTTTTTCCGATTTTTCCTCGAGATGGAGGAAATTGTTTGGATTCGAGAGGGAATGCTAATTATTCACGATTTCGTTCGCAGAAATCCGCATTCTCAGAAAGATGAATAATTGTGGGTTGCGGTTTTATGATGGTATTTTTAGACTCGTCAGTTTGAGATGGGGTGCGTCTGCGGTACGCGGGAAATTTAAATTGGAAGGAACAGGTTTTTTTAGGAAAAGTTTGGAGTCAAAGGAGAAATTTTCATTTTGAGAGCTGAAATTATTCTTCATTAACTCACCAGCATCGAAATCGGCCCCTCCACTGTCACCCCCGGGGTTTCCGTACTCTGAAAATAAATAATCAATTGAGTATTTACAATAAAAAAAATCAGTGGCAAAATAATAAAATAAAATTACTCAAAATTTACAGTTTTATAAAAATCGTTTGACCAACAAACTGTTTATATTCCAAGAAACATCGAAGACTTTCTTTTATCTCCAAAAAAAGTTTTCCAATATTTTTCTTAACGAAAAAATAGACACAAGTTTTTAATTTTTGGGAAACATCCCTGAATCTAATAGACAAACCGAAATTTTCATTAGAACCTTTTCTATAGCTCTCATCCCGCTCTACAAAAAAGGTTTTAATAAAAATTCCGTTGTCATCTCTGGAACTCGAGATATACTCCAAAAATCGACAATTTTCCCCTTGAATCCATAAAAAAATGATTTTCCCGGAGTACCCCAGTGCGAACAGAAAAAATCTCGATAAATCCCGCCTGCATCTATCGATTCAACAAAAAAAACCCATCCTTTGTTTATTTGTTTTCATTGTCTTCATATCTCTACTTTATAGAAGAAAAAATAACAAAAGCCGACTGGTGAAAGGTTATGTTACGCATTACGTCACGACAGGTAGTCTCTCTTCTAGACAGAGACCCACATCTCGACCTTGAAGAGTCTAGGACTGGAAAAATAAATTAAAAATTCATAAAGGAAGCCCCGAAAAGGGGTCAAGAAGAATGACCAAAAACGAGGGGCGGTAAAAAAAAATGGGGGAGGGGAACAAGAAAAACTGCAAATTGGAGAAGTCCAAAGTGGAAGTGCTGCTGCTGCTAGTGGCAAATTTCTGCATGGAAGATGGACAAACCGCCGAGAACAGATAGAGGGGGCTTCCTTCGCTATAAACCGTATAAACCCAGTCAGCCATCTTGAATCCTACGAGCCGTTAAAAAAAAAAGAGGAAATAAAACAGAAATGAAATTGAAGATAAAAAGGTGCCCTCTCTTCACCAGAGCGCCACGAGTTTTTCATTTTTCTAAATGACAATAAAATCCCCTCTGTCTGGAGTTTCTTCTGCTCCAGACAGCGATTTATCGTGGTAATAGTTAGAATTTATTTTCCCTGATCTGAATATTAACCGAAATAATTCGCCCCTGGGGCCTTCGGCCTCAACCCCTCGTTCCCTCGGCCCCTCAATCGTCCATGAATAGTTCCCACTCCAAAAAAGATGTCTGCCATAACGATACTCCATTGACACGATATTTTCATTAATCATTACTCCAAAATCATTGACAGCTAATGGTTACGATGAATTGTTTATAGTTGCTTACTCTGTGGCTGATCGTCGAGGCTCTCCCTGTCAGACATGATTTCGATTTTGAATAATCCTCGTTGGAAAAACCTCTGGTTATGCCACTGTGCCACAGTTTTAGAATATTTAAATCGGCGTCTGTCACGTCAACAGAATATCCTCTCTCCCGGCACTTGTCCTCCACTGCTGGCCAAAAGCCTCGACCACCCAGTTGTTCCCGACTTGATCTATATATCACTTTCCTTTATCTGCTGTCTCACTTTTTCCCCCCGTTTTTGCTCCTTCAATTTTTTTTTCGTCTCACCGAAATGAAAAATTAAAATAAAATCGGCAACGGCTCGTCCTCTGGTCGTTTTCTCGTCCTGTCTCGTCCTATCGTCCTCACGTCTTTTCGTCCTCTTGTCCTCTTGTCCTCCTGTCCTCTTGTCCTCTTGTCCTCTCGTGATCCACCAAGTCAACCAATTCCTCTTCCTTCTTTTTTTTTCTCTTTCCCACTAAAAATCAAATTCTCCCCCTCCTGTTACTCAATTTCTGTGTGTCCATTTGAATGATTGAATAAACTTGATAACTGGTTACTCTGATACAGAATAACCACTGGTATAAACACTGGGGGAGGTGGGGTAAACACAAAAATAATGGAAAAAAAAGGGAATTGTTGGAGAAAAAAAAAATGGTCTGGGTTCTTAAAACACCACCTTCCGACCCGACACCGTCCAACGGCACCAGTCGTCACCACCACCACCACCACCACCACCACCTTCTGGCCAGTGCTTCCTACCGCACGTTCACTCACGACTCAGTTACCTCCTCAGGGGCTAGGGCCTGATCACCTCTTTGGTTATCTACCTCGCGCCTTCACCTCCTCTACCACCACCACTTCCCATTCTCCTAACCAACACCAATCACCTTCCTGTCTACCTCCGTGCATACATGTACACTACCAGCAATCACCCCAACAACCAGTGCCCTGGGTATAACCCGTTCGCCCAGTTCCCCCAGTTCCCCCAATTCCCCCAATTCCCCCAATTCCCCTAATTCGTACCGTTCCGTTCCTTTGGCCGATCTGGCCTTCGCCAATTCAACTTCGAGTCACTCCAACAACTCGCCAATGGCAATCGCCAATTTATCTCCTGCTGACTGCTCCCACCACCATCAAACCAATCACCATTATCTCTTTTCAACTGCCCCCCTCCCACCCCCCCTTTTTTTCACAACCCCCACAAACCTCTATGACATTTTCACTGATAATCAGGCTAGGGGGATTTTTCACGAGTTTTCTTTTCCTCAATTTTGGGGATTTTAGCAGGCATTTGAGGTTCAGGGATTTACTGGGATTTTTTTTCAGGCTTTTCAGGGTCAGGGGATTTTTTTTCAACGGGTTCCTGAGGGCGAGACTCTCAGAGTTGAGACGGGGGGCGCTAGTGACGCTTTCTCGTTTGAATTTTCATTTTGGGGGAACTGGAGATTTTTGGGGATTTTCAGGGTTTTAGTAGGGGAGTGACTAGAGTAGTAGGTTTTTGGTTAAATTATGAGGTCTTTTACAGTTTTTGAATTTGATTTTGTCCTTTTTACTACTACAAACCTGCTAGGTGATTTTCAGGGATAACCAGGCTAGGGGGTTTTTTCAGAGGTTTCGTTGTTTTCAGAATTTTAATAGGTAGTTAGTCTCAGGGATTTACTGGGATATTTTTACAGGTTTTATTAGGGTGAGGAAATTTAGAAGGAAATAGGGGGAGGGGGGGGGGATTCGGGGCGCTGTTGATGATTTCTGCTTTGAATTTGAATTTCATTCCCTTCATTTTTTAAATTCACTCTTAAAATAATTAAATTATTAATTTCTTTTGAGTTTTAAATCGAGCAAGTGCATCGCATATTCGCCACACGGTCTCATTGAGGGAACGCGGTTGCCCAACTCTTTATTTCAAAATTTCCCTACGTGAGCAGTTCGGCCAATGGCCATTGACCGATCTCAAGTCGGCACCGATTTCCGAATTGACAATCATTCTCGTCCTAGCTTCATCAAGGAACGTACAAGCCGGTGAACTCCTTGGGCGATCAGTATCTGATTGTGGAATCAGTTATAATTACCTTACCCGGGGTTCACTGGAGATTTGAGTATTTGGAGATTTGTATTGATCACAACTATACGGACATCTTCGTCGTGATCATTTCCATTTTGTTCTCAAATCATGTTTCGTTTTATCTCAATTCCTTGATGCCGAGCACTTTAAAGTATGAGTATCCACTAAATAAAAATATTATTCTGAGGTTACTAGATTCAATGGTAATTATTTATAATAATAAATACAACTCAATTCGCCTGAACTCAACACCAGTAAAAGCTGAATCTTCAACGAATTTTTTCCATGAAAATTGACGAAGCGCTAAATGTATGGTTTAGGTCCACCAAAAACAATAATCATTGAAATATTAATTTCTCTGATGAAAAGTCATTAATAGGGCGACAAAAGAGAGTGAGAAACAACAAGGAGGTAAATTCATCGAAAAATAATCCTGAGATAAACTTTATTGTCCCTGAAATTTCTTGAACCCCTCCCCCTTCCTCCTGCTGTCGCTGTTGACACGACGAGTGAGTGATATTAAATTCAATAATTTGAATTGCTACGGAAGGGTAACGACGGATAAATCACTCGTTGTGTTCAGTCAGCGATGGTAGATGGTCGGGTGAGGTGAATTCAGAGTTTTAGTGAAGTGTTCAGGAATATTTGATGAAACCCATCTTTCTGTGTGTCCATTGTCTATAAATGTGCCAACATGTGGTGTCTTTGGGGCCGACACACCGCCACGTCCTCGCCGTGGCCCTGGATAACGCAAAGAGCAGTGGATTAACTGTCATATCTCCCATCCTAATTGTTTCCGGATAAAAAGGTGACCAGATCCTTAATTAGGAGACGGAAACCCATCCAATCAAATAAAAAACATCCAGAATGGTTTGGTGGAGCTGAACTAGACATTTACCAAAAAATCGAAAAATGCAAATATTTGGGATAGGAAGTTGGAAATAAGAGTATAAAAATTTAAAACGAACCTATGTTTATTATTTCCTTAAGTTTAAAGCAATAACACGACGAAGTAGTTTTCATTTATCTTTTCTCAAGTATAATTTCAACTTATGCGTATTTTGTACCCAGTACAACTAGAGTTACTTGAATTGTACAATTGAACGTGATTCGGACAAATTTTATTAATTAAATCGTTAGTTTTTCAGTTGCTCACATTGGTTTTTATTGATTTAGCTGTTGGGTGTGATCTTCATCAACTCCATCGAAGCTCGTGTGTAATTACATTCTTAACAAAGATAATTATCAGGTATATAAACAATGGCTGGTGATTTTAATGAGCACAAATGAAATAAATTGACGAGTGATTTAGCGAATTTATTCCCAGCATTTAGTTGATCCACTTGATTAATCGGACAACTTCACCATTCGTTCCAAATATTTCCAATTTTATTTCACAATTATTTTGCAAATTCTTTCAAGAGAAGTGATCGCCACAGAATAAGGCACACAATTGATGCAACGCGCACGTTATACTAGCGATTATTTATTTTACATTTTGTGAGTTTTGTTAATTGTTTAATTCTGGTCGATAATTCAGTTGCAGTTGATGTTTGGGTACTGGAACGATTCGCATGGCACAATTCAATACATTTCCTTGTTATTCGTCATCCAGAGCAAAAAAACAACAATTAAATTAAAAACAATAGTCTTCTGAAACTTAACTCATGAATTTATGACGTATCATTTCCATTTTTTTTATCATCTCGAACAATTCGCAGGTATATTTACACAATTTTTAGTTATGTATGAGGTATGTCGTAATTATTCATCTCATTAATCTCGATATGGGATTATGGTAATTTGGTAAATGTCAACAACAATCGCATCAACCTGAGGTGTTTGGTTATCTCTTCAAAAGCTAACAACTGAACAATGCTGATTACAGTACGAGTATATGAATGCAAGTGGTTTTTTTTTTCTTTTTGTGATAAATGTGTAATATCTACTCGACGACTTTTTAATTTTGCTCACCCCTAATTCATGATTATTATATTTTCTCCATCAACATGGTTTCAATTATTACCAAGCTTTTTTGCCTACTTACGTCATGTTAAAAGCTACTCGAAACTAAACAGCTTGCAATAATTGTTCTCACAATTTAGTCTTTCTCAATCAGTGGTGAACGCCTAGTTTTCTATTCAAATCATCCAAATAAATCCTTTTGAAATTTTCACGCAATTATTTATTCAGAATTTTTATAGCCCAGGGTATAAATTCATTAGCTGGGGTTTTATTAATTTTTATTGTGAGAAGAACATTTCAGGGAATCGTTTCTTCAGCCAAAGCCATTCTCCAAATCCGTAACGAAGAATTTTCGGGGATTTCTCCGCATCCAAGAGAGATACCAAAATTTTCGTAAGAATCTTTTTTATAGTGGCCATTTCGCTCTATAAAAAAGATTCTATCAACAATTTTGCTGTCTCTCTTAGATTCGGGGATATTCCTCAAAAACTCGAATGTATTTGTCAGTTTGACATTTTCGTTTCTTACAATTTAGTCTTTCTGAATCAGTGGTGAACGCCTAGTTTTCTATTGAAATGATTGAAATAAATTCGTTTCAACTTTTCACCAAATAATTTATTCAGAATTATCATAGCCCAGGTCATAAATCCATAAGCTGCGTTTTTATTTATTTTTATTGTGAGCAGAAGAGCATTTCAGGGAATCGTTTCCTGAGCAAAGGCCATTCTTTAAATCAGCAACGAGAAATTTTCGAGGATACCTCGGAATCTAAGAGCGTTAGCAAAATTTTAGTAGAGATCATTTCTCAAGTGCTAATTCCCCTCTACAAAAAAGCTTCAATAAAAAATTTCCCTATCTCCCTTAAATTCCGAGATATTCCACGAAAAATCGAGTGTACGTTTCAATTTTACATTCTCGCTGTTGAAATATTTTCTTTTATTTTAAATCTCCATCGCATCTCTCATGCTAAAAAGTGACGAACCAAGGCTCGTTAAAAATATCCTTTGGATAGCAATAGATGCGATTAGCATCCGATCTTAAACAATTACAGTAAAACACGATCCAAATGTTTTATGAAACTTATGACAATATGATAGATATCGTGATGGATGATGTATAATTAAAGTATAATTAACATCGATAAATGAACGCTCGTGCTCAGTATCTGAGATGATGAAATTTCAGTTGAAAAATCGAGGCGTCAAAATAGCCCCTTCATTTTATTCATTCACCTCTCGCAAGGGCATCACTTAAAAATAATAATAAGAACAATTTGTCATTAACAACCATAACCATGAGATAAATGGATGACTGAAAAAAAAACAACCGAGAGAAAATAAATCTTTAAATAAACTCAATTCACAATTAGTCGAAATACCGGTGACCATCTGTCCCCTTTGACATCTACTTGTAAATTGTATAATAATTTTTCATCATTCTGCGCACGTAAAAATGTTACGCATTCAAAAACAAGAAACTTAAGAGCTATTTACAAGAACAAACGCAACAATGCGAAAACTCGCCATTATATTTCATCATTACCCAGTTATTTCTGGTATTTTTTGATGAAATGAACAGTGGAAATGACTTGATAGTCCGAAAATAAATCCGTAACCAAGTGATACAGAGAGACGAGTAAACTGTACTATTAGCACCATTATCTTGAAAACAATGGATTTGAGGTAAAAATGCCAGATACATTATTTCTAGCTTATGAAATTTCCAGAAAAAATCACCATCTGGTGTTTTTAGCTAAAATTAATGATTAACGAGATAAATGGATAATTAGGTAATGAACAATTGACTCGTCTGATATTTCACTTGTCAAACAGATTGAATTCGATGAAAGTACGTCGGGACGGCGATGACTAAATTCACTGAACATTGCAGCAGGTAACTCTGCAAGGTATAGCCCCTTCCTCCCGGAAGAGGATGGAGCTGCGGAGATGAGGATCGAAGTAGACAGGAGGTTTTCCCCCATAGCAGCTCTCATAGACCTCAATGCCCTCGTCGATCAGCTGATCCTGACGACTCCCCTGTGATTTACTCCTGACAGATCTCTCCATTCCTCCATCATCCTGACCTGCCGTCCTGTCCCCCAAACTGGATGATACACTGTTTCGTGCCAATCTGTAGTACTTCCTGACAATTTCAAGCCCAGGATCCGTCCCTCCAGAGTTGCTTCGTGTCCCCAGAATTTTTGCAGTCTCGAGAGGCTCCACAGCCTCAGAGTCCCAGTATTCAAGTACATCAGGCTCCTCGATGCTCTCTGATAGATCCCCAGAGTACTCCTGAGACTCCTCCAGCATCCTCCCATCCCTCACCACTATTTCTCCCTGCTCAAACGTCTTGATATCACTCCCTCGACTAGATTCAATTGACTTATCATTATCCTCACTATTTATTCCTCTTTCTGAATCATTCCGAGTGCTTTTGGCAACCCTCATACCCACAACGCTATCCTTATCAGGGAATTCGCAACGATCCTTCGGTAATCCCTTTAATAACTTCGCCACTTTCTTCTTTCGTTTGTTAGAATTACGTTTTCGCCTTCTCGTTGCAAATTCACCAGCTTGACGCGACGAATTATCATCATCATCATTCGTTACTACGTCATTAGCAGATAGTGCAGGCATGGGGTTGCCTTGCAAGTTTTTTGACGGCTCAGTGTCCTCCAGCTCGTCGTCATCGCTGTCATTGGTGCTGAGACCAGTGAATAAATCTGGGGAATTAGTGCGTCTCAACCACTGAGTGACAGCTTCAGTGATTCCATGATTTGTGAAAAATGTCTGGCTCTCGAAGCCCGAGTCCTCCTGGGAGTCCACAGGTTCCTGGGCTTTTTTGTAGCTGTTTGTTGTGGATGGTGTGGATTTAGCCTCCAGTAATTCAACTCCCATTATGACTTCGACATTGACACTCTCAGGTTTCTGGAGTGACTCCTCGAGCTCTGGCCCTGGTGTCGCTTCACGAACAATTTTTGGGGATTTGTACTTCTTTCGAGGATTGGAATTTGATTTTGATGGTAGGATTTTCTGGACTGTTGAGTCCCTGGGCTCTGGAGAGGGTGAGAGGTCATTCAATCCGTTTCTCTCGATTTCATCGTCTCCTCCATTTGGCACAATCGACTCCAGGGAATCCTCGAGAGGAATCCCCAGGCCATTCAGCTCCTTCGAAGTCTCCAATTTCTCCACGATGTCAGAGAATTCCGGACACGTGACGTCAACTCCAATTTCAGTTTCATCAGACTCGTCCAGGGGAAGGTCTTGACACAAATCGTTGGCAATTGCCTCTGTTGCGTACTCCAGGGGCTGGGGATCTTGGGGCACTGAATCCATCGATAGGGCTGAGATCTGGGGGTCGGACGGATCAGGATCCTGCGAAGTTGGTGTCGATGGGGACTCGATTATCGTTGATGGGCGCAGATGGAACTCTTTGCAGTCGGGATTCAATGGACGAGTGCTTGGGGTGAATCCTGAATTGTTCACTGTGTCTGCTTCAGAGCTGTACTCCTCCTCCTCTAGTCCATAGTGCGCGTTGTCCTGTGGACACACAATTTTATTTCAATCATATCGAGTTTAAATATCTCCAAATATCTCGGAATCTAATGGAGATAGGAATTTTTCCCTAAAACCCTACATTGTAGATTTTATTCCGATCTACAAAAGTGATTCTGAGAATAATTTCACTATCTCTAATAGATCTAGAGTTATTCACAGTAAAAGATCATTTTATACGTGTGAAATTTTTGAGAGATAACTTATTTTAGTTGCTGTTTAGTTTATGCTAAATATTCTTCTTGCTTTCATGAAAATTGTGTAATTGAAATGTAATCGCGTGAATTGAGTTAAAAGATGGAATTATTGAAAAGAATATGGATACACTGACAATAATTTACGCAGCATCTTTTAATTTAGCGAATAACCAATTGAAATAGTGAATTTACCTGACCAATTGGCCACCTTGGCTTCCTTCGATACAGTTTTTTTTTCTTTCTCCGTTTGGCATACATCAATACCTCCGCAGGCATGTTTGCAGTCCTTACCATTGGTCCACTCTGAATTGTCATACCTTGAATTAAAATGAGAAAAAATGCTAAATAATTTCTAAAGAATAAATCCACTGAAGATAAGACGACACAGAGCAGAGCATGATCTTTCAAAACATTTTGACGTGTATTTCTCTCTGAGGATCAACAATTTTTTCGTCGACAACCCCCTGAAGACACACTCGGTGTCTCAAAGATGAACTTCCCTTCTAGTTATTTTTACATGACATCTATTTAGGTTCGTAACAATGTGTTACTCTTGCCAAAGCGACAACTTCGGCCTCGAGGAGACGAAACCCAATGGAATATTTCGGACATCGAAATGCCTCTAGTGAAAAAAAAAAATAAAGAAATCCGTGATTTATGGGAGTCAATGGAATTGTCGAATCGAAATAACACTGTTTTTGTGATCTCAATTGCTTACTGTGAGACATTAACTCGTGCTCGTGAAATTCTGCACATTTGTTTTTTTTTTTTAATTGTTTTTGCATCATCCTCTTTCTTCTCTCACTGGATTTTTTACCTTGAATGAAGCATAGGCGAGATGTCTATAAAACAGCAAGGACGACGATGAACGGGACAGCAGTTGTGAATCTGGACATACCCCTTTCCCCTTGACGATTGTCCACACGATACTGTTCTCGTTTTAACAATTAGAAAGAGGCTGCTATCAAGCGGATTGTACCGGTTTAAACGGTTGCAACGGGACGTCAAATGCGGAGCAAATGCTTGAGCAATGTCAATAATCTGGTGCAACTATTTTATTTTTTCTCTTCATTCCAACACTGTTGAAACGAAACGTCGATGGATCTATTCCAAACTTTGCTCGAACATCTGGTCCTCTTTTAGTTTTCTTTCTTCCTAAATTTTCTCCATTTTATTGTGTCTGTTGATCCCGTCACAGCGTGCGCGAAACTAATAATAAGCTGAAGAGATCCACTCAAAGTTCCCAAAATTTATAAGTTTATAGTTCCATCCAGCAGAGGAGAGTAATTAGATGAGTCGAATTCGTAAGTTTTTATTTTTGGTAATTATGGTTTATCTTGAGAGGTGATGATTTTAGGGGGAAGTGATAGGAGATATTTTTGGAGATGATTAATTTTTCGATAAAAAATGTGTCTTTATATTTTTTCGTCAAGTCAATAGTTTTTGAGATTCATTTGTGGTTTAGGGGAATTCAAAATGTCAAATCGCATCTATTTGGCTTGAAAAATCTTGTAAATTACCGATTTATCTCGGAAGCTATCGATTTTTGATAGAAACTTCACAGAACATTTTTATTCCTAAATAAATTCTCAACAAAATATGTTTAGAATATTTTTTCCAAAAATCAACAGTTTCTGAATGAATCTGAATTAGCAAAGCACTAAAACCGAACAAATTATGACTAATCTTCAACATTTTCATTAATGATTGATTATCTCACAAACTATTGACTTACGAAGAAAACGTTAAAGAACTTTTTTGTAGGTAATTAATTTCCCGACAAAAAATGTTTTTATGTATTTTCAGCTAAAATCAATAGTTTCCAAATGATTTGCAAAAATCCGACTCATCCGCATTTACATCTCAATCACGGAATTTATCAAGTACCAATGACAAGATTAACGAACCATTGACGTTAATGAGAGTTGGACCGAACATGTAGTGGCCTGGATACATGTAGGGCTGTGGAGGTACGACGTGATGTGAAACATGAAGTTGTTGAGCAAGAACAGTCTCCAGAGATGGTTCAGAAGGATATGTAGTAGCAGGTTCTTCAGGTTCATTAGCTTCGTGTTCATTTTGTTCCTCAACGTTGTCCTCACCAGCTATACTCTCTGCCCAACTGCCATTTCCATTCTCTAAGGGCTCCTCAGAGTCATTTGTGCAGGGATCATAAGTTCCATTCTCTTCAGGATCTGGAAATTGACCCTCTTGAGGGGTCTGAGGGGACAAAGTGTTAGAACCACCAGTGATTTCAATTTCAAGGATAAGGATCATTCAAGTACCTCATAATCGATCAGACAGTAGGGCTGATCGACTTTTGGGACGAATGCTGGATTGACCCACTCGATTGGTCGCAGGGGGACAGCATCGCAGGGCATTGCTGCTAGGAGATTGTGCATGGGGGGCCCTGGCATCGGTGGGCCCACCACCATCACTGGATAGTCGTAGTAGTAACCCATTGATGGATTGTAGAATGTACCGTAGCTCATGTGAGCTGATGACTCCGTCATCGGGGGATATTCCTCCAAACCGCTGTCACGACAGTCCAGCAGCTGTTGATCTTCTGTCGTCTCACTTCCATCTAATCAATCACATCAATACGATAATTAGTCTTCAATTAATAAAAATACTGGTATCTATTTGCCTCTTACTCTTTCAACTATTTTCAACTCTTCAACGATTTTTGCCACGTTTTTTTATTCTCCTCTCGTCTTCTGTTTTTTAACATTATCTCTAGCCTGCGAACGCAACTTTTCTTTTACGTGTCGTTATTTTCGCTTTATCTTATACCACGAATTGATGTTTATTCGTTACACGGAATTCAGATAGACTTTGTTTAAATAATTCCCGTCTTAACATATTTTACAATTTCACTGAATTATCGGGATAACTACTATCACCACTTTTCATGCAATTAAATTTTTTGCTATTTCAAAAATCCAATTATTCGATTTGGAATAATTTTTGCAAGAGATAATAAAATAATAAACAAAATAGATAATGGGAGAATTTTGATGAACAGAAGGAGAAACTTTATATATTAATACATTACTATTATTAAATGCAATAGTTATTCATTATGTAAAGGGATTTATTTCAGTAGAAAATAATTCTGTGCAATGCAATGCATTGAAAATTAGAGTTATTAAACAATGAAAATTGATAATTCTCTTTAATAATCCAAATATGAATATTGAAATAGGTAAATTATTCTATTTCTCCCAAGATATTGTAAATCGAAATACAAATGATATACTTATAAATACTTTAGTTTCTAATTCCCCCCCCCCCCCCCCCTGGGATGAAAAATAATAATTTATTTTTGGGATGAAAATGTGATTTAATGATGAATGAGATCACCTGCAGTTGAATGTGATGCAGATTGACTCTCGGTAGTAGAGGGTGTAGCACTGGTGCTGGCATTATTACTGGACCAGACCTTCTTCCTGGCGAGATATCCTTTTTTGAAGAGTACATCCTGCCTGGGAGTGGTGATCCTCGTGTACTCATTCTCATCAAAAATGATTTTTGGTTGTGATCGTGGCTGTGGCACCGGGGACTCACCTCGAACTCCATTCTGAGTTCTTCCATCATTTCTATCAATTCCCTTGTGACTTGGTACACTGTGTTGTGAATTTCTGGTACCATTCTCCCTAGATTTTACGTCTCTTATTCCATCCTCGTCGTCCTCCTCGCCGTGCGGTGCTGCAAAATAGAATAAATGACTCATTGAGTTACATAAGACCTTGGATTGCCACGAGGATTGCAATTTTCTTAACGAGGATTGCGTCTTTCCATTGAGGATAATCGTACCGTATTGGTACCTCGAAATTAGGAGGATGTAGTGACCAGATCCGATCACACGATTGATCTTTTTCTTCTGACGCCACTGCATTGCACTGAGACTATTTTCTCGAGCTAGACTCCAGACACAGACAACCGGAAATAGATGACTTTGATGTGAGACTGTCTTGCCACAGTGATGGGTACATTAACATTTACTAAATCATTTAATACATGCTATTTGTACTTATTACTTCAGCCCTATTAAGTCTATCAAATACTTAATATCCTCAGTAAATAAATTGTAAATACTTAGTACTTTGTGTGAA